GCTGGCTCAGGAATTCTGGGAGTTGAAGTCCACCAGTCATAAAAGAGCCAAGGTTGCCTACCCCTGTCCTAAGTCCTCCTGTTCTAAGCGGTGAGCCTCCTAGCCCAGGGGTAGGCAACCTTGGCTCTTGTATGACTCGTGGACTTCAACTCCCAGAATTCCTGAGCCAGCCATGCTGAGGGGAAAGGGAGAGGTTTCCAAACTGAGCCATGCTGGCTCAGGAATTCTGGGAGTTGAAGTCCACCAGTCATAAAAGAGCCAAGGTTGCCTACCCCTGTCCTAAGTCCTCCTGTTCTAAGCGGTGAGCCTCCTAGCCCAGGGGTAGGCAACCTTGGCTCTTTTATGACTCGTGGACTTCAACTCCCAGAATTCCTGAGCCAGCCATGCTGAGGGGAAAGGGAGAGATTTCCAAGCTGAGCCATGCTGGCTCAGGAATTCTGGGAGTTGAAGTCCACGAGTCATACAAGAGCCAAGGTTGCCTACCCCTGGTCTAGACCCTTTCAGATGTATGGTGGCTACAAGCCTCTTTGGCAGGGGTCTTCCAACTTGGCCCTTTTATGACTGGTGGACTTCAACTCCCAGAATTCCTGAGCCAGCCATGCTGAGGGGAAAGGGAGAGGTTTAGCCATGCTGGCTCAGGAATTCTGGGAGTTGAAGTCCACCAGTCATAAAAGAGCCAAGGTTGCCTACCCCTGTCCTAAGTCCTCCTGTTCTAAGCAGTGAGCCTCCTAGCCCAGGGGTAGGCAACCTTGGCTCTTTTATGAATCACGGACTTCAACTCCCAGAATTCCTGAGCCAGCATGGGGGAGAAACTATGGCCCCCTTCATGACTTGTGGACTTCAACTCCCAGAATTCCTGAGCCAGCCTGGCTCAGCTTGGAAACCTCTCCCTTTCCCCTCAGCATGGCTGGCTCAGGAATTCTGGGAGTTGAAGTCCACAGGTCATAAAGAAGCCTAGGCCTAGGCCAGGGGTAGGCAACCTGGGCTCTTTTATGACTCGTGGACTTTAACTCCCAGAATTCCTGAGCCAGCATGGCTCAGCATGGAAACCTCTCCCTTTCCCCTCAGCATGGCTGGCTCAGGAATTCTGGGAGTTGAAGTCCACCAGTCATAAAAGAGCCAAGGTTGCCTACCCCTGGCCTAGACACTTAGCTTTGTGGATTTTCCACCTTGCTTTGGCTTCCTTGTTCCTAAAGGGGGTGGGGGGGGTGGGGGGAACCCAGGAAAACCAAGTTCCCTCCTACTTAGCCTTAGCGCTCTCGTAATCCTGGCTTCCCTCGACAAGCCCAGTTTGACGCGCCTTCTCCTTCGACAGGGTCCATTGCTTCCACTACCTGATCCCTTTGGCTAAGCAAGGCAACTACGCCATTGTGGCCAATGTGGAGAGCATGGACTACGACCCGCTGGTGGTGCGGCTCAACAAGGACATCAGCGCCGTGGAAGAAGCCATGAATGCCAGCTTGCAGCAGCACAAGTTCCAGTACATCTTCGAAGGTGGGTGGCTTGCCAGGGAGCTGACGTGGATGAAGTTGCCAGCCTTGCTGGCATCCTCTTCCCAGAAGCCTCACGATTAAACCTTTACTCAGCTGCAAACCTCGGCTACGAATTGCTTATATTTGCTCTGGAAGAATTTAACCAAGTTAAAGATCGGCCTATTTTTTTTTTTTAATTTTATTTTGTTTTGTGCCCGTGAAGAAAAACCAGATTCAGGAAGTCCTCGGCTTATGACTGCAGCTGGCACCACTGCTAAGGAAGGCCATACCCTCGAATGAGCCACGCCCCGTTTTACGACCTCTTTCCCACGGTTGTTAACTGAGTCGGCACGCTTGTGAAGGGGATTGCGCAGATTTGAAAGGAAGCCGGCTTCCTCAGCTGCCTTCGCTCGTCGGAAGTCAGTTTCGAAGGTCGCAAATGGACCTGCAATCAATATAAATACCTCTGGTGGCCAGGTCCTCAAATACAGAAAGTCCTCGACTTACAACGGTTCATTTAACGACTGTTCAAAATTACAACAGGGCTGGAGGAAAAAAATGACATCACCATTTTTCACACTTACGATGTCCCCCAGGGTCATGTGATCAAAATTCGGACGGCCGCTAACCGAACGGTTGTAAGTAGAGATGGGGAAAAAAACTGAAAAAAAATTGGCAAAAATACAGGTTTTTTTGTGTGTGTTTTTGTCCAAACGGCTTTGGAAGAAAACGGAAAAATGCCCCTGTTTTTTTCTCCCAATTATTCTGGGGTTTTTTTTTTCCAGGCCTTCCCATCTAGGGTATAGGGTGTCCGGCCTCAGCAAGGGGTTGGACTAGAAGACCTCCAAGGTCCCTTCCAACTCTATTAAATAATAATAATAATAATAATAATAATAATAATAATAATAATAATAATAATAATAACAACAACAACAACAACAACAACAACAACAACAATGATGATAGTAATGATAATGATAGTTTTTTAAAAACCCTGTTTTTTCTGCCAATTTTTCTGGAATTAATAATAATTTCAAAGAGACAAGCACCTGCAACATAACACCCCGGACTTAACAATTGTCGATAAAAAAGACAAAAAAGTCTGGATAGTGGACGTGGCAGTGCCTGGAGACAGCAGAATAGACAAGAAAGAACTGGAGAAGATAACAAAATACAAAGACCTACAAATAGAAATAGAAAGACTGTGGCAAAGGCAAGCAAGGGTGGTACCAATAGTAATAGGCGCCTTGGGTGCAATCCCAAAACAACTGGAGCACCACTTGGACACCATCATCGGCATTGACACATTCGCCATCGGTCAATTGCAAAAGGCGGCCTTACTAGGAACTGCTTCCATCCTGCGACGAGATCTGTAATACCATCAAACATCCACATCTGCCTCTCCCAGGTCCTTGGTAAGGACTCGATAGGTAGACAAAAAGGCCAAATCCAGTCTGAACATCTGGCTGACTGTGCGATGATCCATAATCATAATCATAATAATAATAAAACATCATCATCATCTCTAGTTTTAAGTCAAGGACTACCTGTCTAATAATTTAGGAGTTTTGTAGAATTGTAAAAATTTCTTCCTCCTGACCGATCAACTAATTGTGACCTGCAATTTCTCTCTGCTCCAGGTTTGGGCCATTTAATCTCCTGCATCCTCATCAACGGGGCTCAGTACTTCAAGCGGATCAGCGAGTCGGGCATTAAGAAGATGTGCCGCAACATCTTCATCCTTCAGCAAAACCTCACCAACATCACCATGTCCAGGGAGGCCGATCTGGACTTCGCAAGGTGGGACGAAGGAGAGACCGTGTTGGGTGTGTGTGTGTGTGTGTGAGAGAGAGCCTTTGGGACAGGCTTACGATCTCAATTGACTTACAATCTCAATTGACACCCCCCCCCCAGAATTTCCATGCCTAAGCAAAGGGGGGTTGAGCTTCGCCTCGTTTTACGACCGTGTTGGCCGCAGCTGTTCAGCGAATCACGGCAGATGTTAGGTGAACCGTGCGCGGTCGTTCAGCACATCTGGCTTTCCCCCCTTGACTTTGCTTGTCGAGAACCGGCTGGGAAGGTTACAAATGGCGATCACGTGACCCCGGGACAGTAAAACTGTCGTAAATACATGCCAGTTGCCAAGTGCCCGGATTTCCTGGGGAGGACTAGAACTCACCGTCTCCTGGTGACTGGCCCAAAGTCACCCAGTCAGCTTTCATGCCTAAGGCGGGACTAGAACTCACCGTCTCCTGGTGACTGGCCCAAAGTCACCCAGTCAGCTTTCATGCCTAAGGCGGGACTAGAACTCACCGTCTCCTGGTGATTGGCCCAAAGTCACCCAGCCGGCTTTCATGCTTAAGGCGGGACTAGAACTCACCGTCTCCTGGTGATTGGCCCAAAGTCACCCAGCTG